TTCCAGAGCTGCTATACTACCCCTTAGCTGCATCCCTGTACACATAGTGTGACTCTGCTCAGCTCCTGGTATTTACAGCCAGGATTCCACCCTGAGCAGGTTTGCAAGGTGCAGAGAAACTGCTATAAACAGTAGCTACTAGATCCTGACTTAGGAGAAGGCAAGTGAAAACAGAGGGAGAGAGGGCTTTCCAGGGAAAACAGCTCAGGTGGAATCCCAGGGAATGTGCTGTAAGGTGCATCTCAGACACTGAGGAACAGCACTAACAGGCATGGAGGAATCACATCCCTGGGACTGATTAATCTCCACACTGCCAAGGGTGTTGTGCTCTGCAGGGCAAGGGCAGCTCAGGGATGTGATTTCCAGGCTGCTGCCAGGTTTGCAGCCCCTTCCCAGTTTCCCACGAGGGCCCAGGGGAAGGTCTGCCTGGCTCTTACTGCGCAGCTTCTTCTGCCATTCCATCTCGTTGTGCAGGAAGGACGACTGGTCGAAGAAGTCGCTGACTTTGCTGCCCTGCTCGTCCTGCTCCGTGGTGGTGAACAGTCGGTACTTGGTCTCCCTGGTGAGGAACTCGCAGATTCCAGGCACGGGGAAGATGATCTGCTCCATGCTCCGGTCCAGGCGCACGATCTGCAGGAAGGACAGGGAGCATTCAGGTCCTGCCCTGCTGTGCCTTCCCCTCCTCCCTCCCACTGCTCTGGGATCCACAGATCACTGCCCACTTGTCTGCAATGCTGCAAACCGACCCCAAGGCAGCCCTGGCCCTGCTGAGGGAAACTGGGAGGACATCTGCAAGGGGATCCATGCTGAAAGCAAGGATGGGGCTGCTGGATCAGCTGCATCCCACTGCTGCCAGGGGAGAAGGGAAGGGTCGGGGGGCAGCTCATCCCTCAGCTCCTCATGGGCTCTGCTGAGCTCTCTGCAGAGCTAAAGAAGCATCTGCTTCCTGCCAGCAGAGATGGGAAGGCCCCGGTGCAAAATAGCCAGGCACAGAGCAGCTGGAGCCACGTGGGACTCATGGGCTGGAAACCCATGAGCCAAGAGGTCTTGCCTCGATCTGGGACGTGTGCTTCTCGTAATAGGCCAGTGGATCCTCCTCTTCCTCCTGCACTGGGGCCGTGGACTTCAGCATCTGCGACAGCTGCTTGTTGTTGAGGCTGAGCTGGGAGGGGAGAGGCAGAGGATGAGTGTGGCTGCAGCCAGGAGCTGGGGCTGACTGCTCTGACAACGTGCCTCAGCATCTCCACAGCTGAGGAGGTTTCAGGGAAAAGCAAATGAATTAAGGCTTCCTAAAGGGGTGCGAGTGCTCCCTGCGGTGACAGACATTCGATTCCCTGCTATAATTACATCCAAGTGCTGCTAATCCACAAATTACAAACCAGTGCTCACAAAACCCCAGGGAAATCACATT